ACAGAACTGGCCCCAACGCTGAGCCCTGGAGAACACCAGTGGTGACTGGCCGCCAACTGGATTTAGCTCCATTCACCACCACTCTCTGGGCACAGCCGGCCAGCCAGTTTTTCACCCAGCAAAGGGTATTCCTGTCCAGGCCATGAGCTGCCAGTTTCTCCAGGAGAATGCCATGGGAGACGGTGTCAAAGGCCTTGCTGAAGTCCGGGTAGACCACATCTACAGCCTTTCCCTCATCCACCAAGCGAGTCACCTGGTCAAATCACATTTTCCACATAACTACAGAACAGAAAAGACAGGAAATACTTGAATTAGGTGGGCATAGCTTAGGCAACCTCCTCACTGGCAAATGCAGAACTAAAGGTAAGAGAGTTGGAGAAAATAACAGGAAAGTTATGTTACCAACAACAGTTCGATGCTCTTGACTATAACAGGAGAGTGGACTCAACTGTGAGGGATGGCATTTTAACAATCTGTGGCTGAACTGGAAACAACACAAATAAGTCTCTCTTTCAGAAAACCATAACACCATAGTTTTCACTGTGATTTCTAAAGCCTGTTTGATGAGAAACAAAATAATCAAACACAGTTGTTTCTCTACACAGTTGTAGAGAAACATAGGCATAGTTCTTGGCGAGTCTCAGCGACAATCTAGCCATTTTCTGTAAGTTTTGCAGAAGGAACAAAGGGGCCAGCACACACCAGATGATCTGTTCTGGCTATTGCTGGCACAGGAAAACTCCAGAGGGGAAGAGAATGTCAGTTCTGAGAAAAGAAAGAATTGAATACATCCAGCTTCTATTTAACCAACTCCTTCCCACAAAACCCAAATAAAATTCAAGTGGCATTTGAAAAGCTTTCCAGGTTTTTCAAAGTATCAGCACACATCAGGTCTTCTACCAGCTACTCTGAACTAAGGTAAAATAAATAAACCAGAAGTGGTACCATAAGAATTCCTTGCCAAGATGCATTAACTTCACATGATCATAAAACCCTCAGAAAATGCAAGGAAGAAGGATGCTATTGCTACAGTAGAAGATCCCCAAATAAATACAAACACACATTCCTGTTCTGTTATAGTAACCTCTCGGTTTCTGCGGCTTCCTTTTGTTATCATAATTTTTCATGACGATGGTGGTGGGTCATAGTCAGATACTTTTTGTTCTAGTGGTTGCCAGAAGAAATACAAAGGATGGAGTTTGGCTGCAGGGTGAGTCTAGCCATCCCAGAGGGGGCAAGGCCAGCTTCTGGATACAGAGCACGTAGTTAGATAGTTATTTGTATTCTCAACCATTTCTTGTTTACCTTTCAGTTTCTTAGTGTCATAGGCAGCTTTGAATCTTTTGTCACTGTGCATGTAGCAAGCTGCAACACGGAAGTATTAAATATTCCCACAAAGTAAATGGAAGCATAATGCTGATCTCCTTTCAGAAGGGAAAACTGTTAAACTCTCCTTTTTTTGTACCTTTGTATCACTCTGGTATGTAACCTGTCCCCAGTAATCAGCACTGAGAATTAACGCTGAAAAAAAAAAAAACACAACTAAGAGTGCTGGAAAGGTCATTAAAAAAATCATATGATACAGGTCCTTTACCAGACACTTATAGTTCCTTTGCAGATTTCATTAAATACTTTTCATTGAAAAAGTAATCCATGAATATTTAGTTGAACCTGTAGTTTCTCTTCAGAGATTCATACATTCATCCCTGAGAAACTTTTCTTTCATTGCTTAACTCATTATTGAGGTTTCTTCTCTATTTTTGCATTTTCATTATAAGTTCTTTCCACAATGCCCACAGCTACTCTTTCTTCTAGGTACCAGCTTTTCTCACATTGGCCTGTTTCTGACTTTTGCGAACAAAAGTGCTCTTCAGTTCTTGAAAATTTTCACCTCAGCTCTAGGCTGCTATCAGCTACAACCAAAAATTCCTCATGGGGTTTTACTAAGCAGAATATGATCACAAAACAGTGTGTGACAGGTTTTTTCTATCCTCACAAGGAGAAGGAGAGTGCATGGACACACATAAAGGCTCTGTGGGGTGTGGGTTCAAAGACCACATAGCTATTCTGATAACAGCAGGGTCAGCTTTATTGCCCATGGGACACGTGTTTTCAGGACAGATGCCAATGCAAGATGGATCTGTGTCCTCCTGGACACAGTTTCATTACTCAGAAACATGACAAGCTGTCAGAAATGCACTATTCAGAAGCATTGTAAAGCAAATAATACGGACTGCACTAAGGTATGCATTCTTGTTTTGCATAAGATAACAAGGGTGTTCTTACTAGTTATTGTAAATCATGAGGTTTTGCAGCTAGCTTTTACTACACAATTTGAATTCATCCCACAGTATTTGTGCACATCCTTATCAGCTAGGTGGAGGGGGAAATTCTTGAGGGATAAGCTACAGAACCAGAATTGCATCCTTTTTGATAACTTTCATTTGGAACTGAATTGCTGGTTTACATTAATCCTTTTTTTCTACCTCATTCTCAAACTGAAATAGCTTAATTAATCTCCTTGCAAATTATTTCATTTATTTTTTTCAGTGGTCATTGTGAGGGAGGGCCCCACACGTCAACACTCTCCATCCCCTCCCCATACTATGCAGACTGATAAAGGAAAGAAAAATGTGTGTATGATGTATGCCCTACTTGCTCAACAACGGGTTATGATGCAGACAGTAACTAGTGAGGTTATACGGTTTCCATAGTGATTGTCTCATTGAAATGATCTATTTTTGGAATTCCATCACCGGTGTGGTTAGGATGGAAGTGTTCTGCGATCAGGCTTGGCCATCAGCTAAGCAGTGAGCAACAGAAGAATTTATTTCCCCAGGAATTTTTGGGGGAAAATTGAACCACCTTGCAAACGGCAGGAATATACCAAAATGTGCCTTGATTTACATTTTAATCCCATTCTTATTGGTTAGTATTGTTGAGCCTATCAAACTATGCTTTAAATGATTATGAATGTGTCATGCTAATTCTATGACCATCCATAAGAGTACTTGTCACCCTTACAGTCACGATGGAAAGCACTAACCTATGCATCATTACAGGACTGCTGACAATACCAGAGTAACATATTCTAAGCAAAAGTTTAGATTCCTGAAGAGCAACCACTGAATCTTGCTCAACAGGATCTATAAGCCACCATGCCATATATGACCCACATTCGAACAATCCACCAGAATGTACCTCATAATGTTTCCCAAAGGCGTTGCTTAGTCAATTTTAACCCAGAAGGTGAAATACAGAAGACAATGCATTTACTATGTCTTTGTCACGTTTTCATTAAGGCTGCCGTTTCTGCCAGTCCCAGTCTTTTCACTACTTGCAAAGCCAGAACTTATGAGAATTAGGTTCCACAGGAACTCTCTCAAACCCCCACTCTTTTCTATCACTTAGAAACAGTACATCTGCTTGCTCTTGGGTTTAATTCTTATTGATCTTCATTTCTACAGAATTCTCTAGCAGAGCAGCCTAGAAGATGGATAATGAAGCTAGGCGCAAAACACTCTGAGTTAATTTTCACTTTTGCTAAAATCTGTACTTCCCTCAATTTCCTTATTTTTGGTAAAATCAAAACAACATATGACAAACTAAAGAGGTGCTAATGTTGATATTTGTAAAACAATTGGGAGAATGACAATGTAACTAATGTGCCTTATACTATAATTTTTCAATCAATGCCAAGTTCAGAGAAATACCCTAAGTTCTCAACAAGTCCAGTGCTGTCTCTTTCCACCTTTGCATTACCTTCAGTCTAAGCTTTTGGATGCACCTCTGTTTTGCATTGTACTGAGACAACACTGCTCTTCCGGCAACAAAGTACTCACTTCAAATCTTTACAAGGATTTGGAATCATAGGTAGAGTTGCTGCACAAGAACATCATTGCTTCCTTATGTATTACCTCTCTAGGAAGCACGCTGAGTACCTTCTCATTTCAGCATATTGTGTGCCAGAAACACCTCTTATGCTTTGCTCAAAAGGCAAGACACATTGCCTTTCTATGGCGGGAGAGTTATTGACAGTAACAATGACCAAATTCTGGAACTATCCTGCATTTTTAAGTTAGCAGTACATTTTGGTAGGATACCTGTGCAGATATGCATTTGCTTAAGCAAAATCCAGTCTAAATGGACTTTCTGATTCAAGATTGCAGTTGTTTCTGCTTGATTACAATGACGTTCAATGAAACAAAAAGGGAATATGTACTGGAAGTAAACACAGCTGCTTTTATTTTTAAAATTCTATTGACCTAACCCCACGTTCACCACTTCCAATATATGCCATTTTGCTTAGGGTGTCAGTTCTGTGACACACTTTCTTAATCCATTAATCTTGATTCCATTCTAACTAGTAAGAGACAGCTGTATTGAAATAAAGAAAGCTAATAAAAATATTTCTATGTTAGGATTTTACACAGAGGCTATGATCTTAACATATAGGTAAATTTTGAGAAAAGCCGTAAAGGTACTTACCAATTAGATACTAAGTTATATATTTAATACACAATAAACCAAATGATTGTTCTAAATGATGTGCCACTGGAAAACTCTTCAGTGAAGAACATAAAGGAAGGAAGGGGATAGGAAGTTGAGGAAAACCCCTGAACTCCCACATTGTACGACTCTGCAGACTAAAATCTCCTCTCTCATTAGCTCACCTTTGGCTACTGATCTCTGTCCTGTTGCATCTGGCACAGCTAGACAATGTGTATCCGGACCTAAAAAAGAGTTTTGGGATCCACCACTGGGTTTGGAAAGTCGGCCCTCCTGGCTTTCTGCCACTTCTCCACAGTCTACTTCTGGTGGCTCGTCAGAGTGAATCTGTACGCAGAAAGTTAAAGGCTGATCACTCTCTTCTGTGGCAGAGCTGTTAACTAGGTCAAGCCACGACTGCCTCTCAGAATAAACCACTTTGGACGTCAAGGAAGAAGACGACTCTTGGGAGTTGAAAGTGCTTTCAGCAGAGGAGAGAGAACAAGATGCTTCACTTGACAGAGTTGAGGTGAAAGAAGACTTCTGCTGATCCTGCTTTCCAGAAACAAAGGAGGAGGGACAAAAAACAAAAATTATTTCCAAGTTATTCCTGTTCCTAGGTTCTACATGTTATAGATATGCAGGTGAAATGCTAACTGACCAAAAATTTATGTAATTGGATTAATTATCCATCTAAACAAGCCTGAGGTATGGCAGCCAATCTCCTACAGAGCAGTAATTTCAGAAACTAAGCCACAAGGAAGTCAGAGGTAAAACAGACAAAAACCTGATGATGCCTAGGAACAAAAGACCAAGGAAAAATATTATGTTGAATGTAGCCTTCCATGCTAGGTGTCACACTTATGTTCACTCTTTACTTCGTCTTCACTTTATTGGTCTAATCAAGAGTGCAGAAAGGAAACTCTGAATTAACCATTGAACATGAAGTTGTCTTGAAGCATTCAATAAATGCACCAATGCCTTAACTATGGATAGACAGAAATGGGCACAAGCACTGAAGTACCTTGACGTTCTCACCACAGAAAGCTATTTTACCTGGTCCATTCAAGAGATTAATCATTCACCAAGGTAAGAAGGCTGATGAGTAATATGATGGCAAGTTAATGGTGGGAAGAAAAAACAGTCATGGGGCAGAGGGCAGGAAAAGGGGAATGGTACAAGATTTGTGTTGCTCATTCACCTGCTAAGATTCATCCTTCACCCCATGAATCTGGAAAGGGACCCAAACTTCACTAGAAACACATTAGAAATCATTAAGGCATCCTAAGGCCCTCCATTCTGTACTTGTCACCCTGCCTCAACAAGAGCGCAAATAACCAGAGAGGTCTGAGAGACATCTAACAGCCATCATTAGGAGCTAGGAGTTGAATAAGAGAGAGTATGATAGATGCACAATTCCATGTAAAGAAATGTTGAGAGAAAGAACAAAGGTATGAAAAGTATTTGATTTCCCAGATGAGCAAATAGATGCCCAGGTCTTTGTCTACAGTAGGCAGTTACATTGATTGAGTTGTACTATCATCTGGTCACCAAAAGCAACTCACAGAAGAAGAACTAACCCTAGTCTGCTTCTTAGCCACCAAACACCACTGAAAAGATGAGCCAAGAGAGTCAAATACACAAGTAATACATACACAAACATACAGATATACATACAATTACCCAGAAGAAGATTAATTGACAGTAATAAATAAAGCAATGGAAGACAAGGGGAACAAAGCCTTACAGTGAAGCTCTTAGCAGAAACTATCAGAAATCCTGATGAGATCATCGTGATATGAAAGCCAGAATTATTGTATCTGCTACTGCAGAAATTTACTCCTTCTGCAAATCATCTGCTACTGGCCAATGCCAGAATCAGAATACCAGACCTGATAGACAATAATTCTGGCAAGTTTATGTTCTTAATATTTATGTAGAATAGATCTGTGTAAGGATTAAAACAGATAATAACTAGACTGAAAGTATTGAAAATAACTGAGAAGGTTGCTAGGGAAACCTGGACAAGCTGCAAACACAATAAAGGGACTAGCCTGCAATACTTATTTTTAACCTGGTAAACTGGAAATAAGATGTATGCATATAAACCAAACCAAGAGTGACAATTTTTTGGATTATGATATATAAACTTCTGCAATTCAGTGTTGCCGTAATGTGTACTACTTCCTTTTTACATTAAAAAAGCAAAGTAGATTTGCCTTCCTGTGTTTCTAATATAGCTGTGTCACGTGGTTACTAATTAATTTAGAAGACAAGGAGGACCAATATCGGATTGTGGGTCACTGTTTGTTTGTAGCACTTTCTTCACTTCTGAAAAATTTTAAAGCCATTCCTCCAAGACTGTCCCAAACACTGCAGGACCAGGCTTAATTTATATTCCTATTGTGAGAAGTACAACATTGTGTTTCAGGTGCATTTTTGTTTTTAAAACTGAAACCTTCAGAAATGCATCCTAAAGCAAAGGACAAGGAGATGCGGTCATAAACTACATGTATGAGTGATAAAAACACCCTCAGGAACACAGATGACCTAAAGTATTTCACCTAAGAGCTCCTATCAGACAAATTGTTGAAGCATTGGTACAGCCAAGCCGAACAACTGAAGAGTAAAAGCTCATTCTCACATGGTGTGGATGGTCTAATTTCAATTGTTCGAAGACAGGAAAGGAAGATGTTAGATCTCACCTCTATTTTTCTGGCATTTGTCCATGCAAAAGAAAGTGCCATTGAAATGAAAACTGTGCCTCACTGAGTGGATTATATTTTTGTTTTCATTTTCATTGTGTGTTAAATAAAAAAATGTGGGTGAGAATAAAGATGACTGCCAGAATGTGTTTCTTTTTCTCTACATATGTCTTGTGGGTTTTTTTACTTTGGCATGACAAATGTTTACCTAATTTACTGAGTGGTTCCTTTGGAAGTTTTGCAATCATCTAGATAATAGTAAATCTCCATTTGGGGACATTTTAAAAAGCAGATGCTTGAGCCAGCATATTATAAGGATTCCACTGGATATCAGTGAGTCTCTGGCATTTTTTAGAGAAAAATTATCACGGTAAAAAACCTCAACTGCTCTTTTGGGACTGCTGCAATCTATTTTCTCAACATAGCTGCTGGTTTTTGAAATGTAAATCCATAAATATGTGGAGAAATTAATGCAGATGGTCAGTTTAACTTTTGTCCTACAGATGCTAAAATTTACTTGTTCCTCACTTGCTTTTTTCTTCCACAGTACCATAAGCATAGAAAGCTCATGATCACTACTTTTTTCTTTTTTGAAATTTCAAAATGGTTTGGGTAAGCAGAGAACAGAATAGCAAGTGAAAACTTTGTGCTAATGTTTGCTGCTCTAACATTTAACAGAGCTTGCACCTGAGTGGCTATTAGTTTCTAGTCCAATAGTTTTTACTCTGGAATAACTCTCAAGAAGTTTGGAGGCCTTTCTGCTTACGGCAGCAATAGTGTGATTTTCAAAAATGTCCATAATTCCTATTTTGCAAAATCCCTTTGGCACTCGAGAGGAAGAAGTGCAACTTTAAAAAAAAAGATAAAAATAATAAAATAAAGATAAAACAGATAAAATAATAAAAAAGAAATGAACCCCAGTCAATGCCTGTGACATTCTTGATGCTGGACTGGGTTTCCAGGATAGCTGTCTCTTCTGGTAGCAATCTGAAAAGACTCAAGCAGGCCTTCCAAAAGTGGATACTCACAGAGTATCAACCCAAATCAATCACGTTTGGGACCTCACAGCTTGGTTCAGAAACTCTGAAGCAAACAAATAGGCAAGCAATGTTTAACCAGCCTTCCCTGAGACAACCAAAAGCTCCACTCCTAGAATTGACTTTCCAGTAAAGCTGTGCTTTCTGAGACCTTCCAGTGCAATCCACCCAATCCTTCCTTTCTTGCTCCAGTACCTGTCCAGAGGGAAAGGGGCATTAAATCAGGTATTTAAAAGGAGACTGACTTGCAGTCAAACACAGCTGCATTGGTACCTAACTGTTCCTACCCACCACATAAGCAAGCTGAGCATAGGGCAGACCCATGGCAGCTGGACCTTATTCCAGTGGCCACTTCTGGGGTGAAAAGATGACGACTTTGCTCAGGAGACACTAACCTTTGTCCATGGGGGAATGGATTCTAAACTGGGGATGAGGAGAAGGGAAATCAGCTAAGAGAGGTAAAGGCTGGAGGGAAGATAACCTTGAAGGGACGGGCTGAGAAAGGAGGACCCTTCAGCACCTGTACCATTGCCTGCCTCCCACGCATCCCCTGCTAAAACGTGGAGGCCTGCACTCAAGAAGAGTGTATATGTGAAGGAGACAACCGGAGATCACTTCTGCAGCAACAGATTGACAAGCAGCAGGGAGCCAGAAAAACAGAAAACTAAAAAACAGCACCTGTTTAAAACTCATCATCTGGAAAAATGCAGACATTCACTCAGAGGTGAGCAGATGGAAAAGACATCTACAGCCTCTTAAAGGCAAGCCACTGAGGTATAAAATTCAAGACGCTTCATTATCGGCCCTCGGCCCAGAATAACCCTTGGAGACGTATTGCTAAGATTCCTGTTTTCTCCAATATTTATAGCTACTCGGCCACATTTGACTTCCAGTTAACACAGGCGATAAAGAATCGTGTTTTACACAGCAGTGAACACCACACCCCCCCCCAAGGGCCAGGTGGGTTGTTTTACAGCCATTAACATTAAAGTGTTTCAGGAGAGGAAGTGAAGACTGACTTATCTGACCGAAACAGAAGAGCACAAGTGGGTGACAGTGTGACGTACACTCCTAGCTTTATGTAGCTAATTAAAGATTGCCAGACAGGCAACCCTGTGCATGACATCTCCTTTTATTATTGCCTGTGACTGCGCAAGCTTCTCCAGCTCATCTATGTATCTCAAATTTGTTCCTGCTTCACTGCCTCTGTGCCCATTTCAGTTACTGGATGTCATCTCAGTGTGCCATACAGCAGACACTTCCCCTTCCAAGAGATTGCAGTGAGATGATTTAGTACTAAGTATGTTACTGCATACCCCTCGATGTTAACTTTCAGCTGGGGAAGGGAAAGGCCTGAACTCAGGATTCCTTATTTCAGCTGCATTATCATTCCAAGCCAGATTACTCATTTCTAAACCCCATATCTTAAAGCAGGTGTAAGGGGAGATCAGATCACTGAGAAAAGCAACAATATAGAAATCAGATTAATAGAGTGGTAAGTGGCTAATAATTAGGTGAGTCAATTTGATTAGACACATGAGGGTGCATTGTGCTTATTCTAATTTATTCAATTAAGAGAGACAGGAAGGAATATTCTGGGAAAATACGCTACAGCAAGAGAGAAAAATAGCATAGAATTTGGGAGGATGCTTATTTTCTTTTTTTATAGTCTATTTTTCAGAGGTAAAGAAAAAGAACTGATTTTACCACTGTAAGAAGAGGCCTCTTTCCCTTCCATTTTCTTCACTGCCACAAAAGCAGCTTCAAATTCAGCAGTCTTAAGAACAGCTTACTCATATAAATAAATACAAATCTGTTGGATGCTGTTACTGGGGTCACAAAAAAAAAGAAGATTTGAGGCTGATTTTTTTAAAAAAAAATAGTATGAAAAACTAGGTTACAGCAATGTGTTAAAAACCTTGTAAAGGAAAGACACAGCATGTGTATGAGGTAGAGTGACACTTTCCTTTCTCCAGCAAGCTAAAGATGCCTTCGTCTGAAGGAGCTGTTCTTTTACAGCGCGAGGCTCCCAGAGGTGCAGGCTGCTGGTGCTCTGCCCCAGGGCAGGGGCAGTCAGTGCATCCTCATTTCGCAGGCACACAGGATGAACATTTCCAGCCACTGTTTTACGTTATTCCTCAAAAGTCCACCACCTCAAGAAAGTTTTGTTCCAACTGGCTAGTAACAAGAAACAAGATAATTACTGTAATACTTACTGAAGGAGGAGGTGGTGGCTGGACTGTGTAGGGGGGAGGTGGCGTGTCTGTTATTTCTGGATCATCGTGTTCACTTTCGCTGTAGCATTCTGAGGCAGACATGGAAAATGAGCAAAACCAAAGCGTTAGACCAACAGTCACTTTTTCCTCGCAGCACTGTCATAAGCCAAGATCACCAAGTAGGATGCTCTGGGCTGAGGACCACGCTGTAACAAGTCAGTGTCTCCTACTCTGAAAATCAACACACTTGTGGTGATGCCACAGTACTTCACGGCAACATTTTTTCTTTTAAGCAAAAAAAAATTGCTAATTTGCTATGGCAGGAAACACTAGATGGCACTACTCTAGATAGCTTCACAAATAGGTTTGGGGTGATTTTTTTTTCCTCCCTTTGCAGCCTGTGAAATAAAGGTTGCATCATTTGTAGTATATGTTTGGGAGACCTGTTGCAAGTAGCAGATGTTGTCCCTTAATCTCTATAACCAGTAAGTTTTCCTCGAGCTAGCAAAAGGCATTGGTGTTTTGGGTGCAGTTTTGGAGAAAACAAATCGATCGCATGGTGCTTTGGAAACCACAGAGCAGCTTCATGAGTCTTGTGTCACCACAGAGTAACTCACATAAACATGCCACGCCACATGGCAGTACGTGTACAGAGCTAGTACTAAAAGTAAACACAGTACTCTAGGACTATATACCCCACTCATCTTTTTTTTTTTTTAAATAAAAACCAAGTTGATAGAGCCTCAGTATCTCTTAACATGTGGCAGAGAGACAGACACGTTGTTATTTCTTTCAACTAACTGTGTAGTAAGTGAAAGCATTTTCTCAGCTGCTTTTTAAAAGTGGATTAAATGAAGCGATAACCATTGATAAAATGAGACACAGAAAAGGGGAGACAGTAAGTTGCTGGTGCCTACTCCCCGGGCCTGGCTGTAACCACTGGGCAAGCTCACTTCCCTCTACTAAACCTCTCAGCACGCATCAGCCTTTCACATCCAACCTTCATAAGAGCAAGTGCTTGCATCCTGCCCTGCACCATGTGTGAATGGTGACAGCGCTCACCCCACCTAACTGAGCTGGGGACAAAAAAGGTTGCAAAGACATAGTCAGAGCTCAATGAGGACAACATGAGGCAGTGTCGAGTGTCACAAGAGCAGAGGCTGGCCCTGTGGTCTCCTTGGGAGCCAGCACCTGGCACTGCGTCTCCCTTGGGCTATCTAAGAGCAGCTGGGTCTTTCCAGTGGAAGCAACCCTCCAGCTCTCTCCCAAAGTGGGCGAGGGTTGTTCATGTTCTGGGAGTACTTGGTAAGAGCTGGACTTCATGGGTTCACACTGCTAGAAAGCAGCATCTCTGGGAAATGACCTGTGATTATCTCATCTTTTAACTAACACCCACGCAGTTTCTTTTTGTGCATGGTATTTGGGGGTTTTAATAAACACTGTGAGGGGAACAAAGTTTTAAGAGAGAAGAATTTAATACATGAGAGGGAAGTTTCTAAGATGTTAACAAAGTGAAACTTAAACAGATTCATTACTTTTTCTCCCTGTACTATATAGAACTATAGGGGTTTTTTTAATAGCATAGCTACTATTCTGTTTACTGGAAATATGTGCTGACACATCTTAGCATAAAGGACTGAGACTGGCTGCAACAAGGCCTGTATCAAATTCTAAGGCTCTATTAATGCCTTCTTGAATAACTCTTAGTAAAGAGCTTATTGTTTCTGCAGCTCCCCTTTTAGTCACATAGAAGAACTGAAAAAGAATCAACAGCTGTTTCTGATACTCTAAATAGGCAAATGGGATTGGGGGGGCTGTTAAAATGCATAGAAAGTACATGAACACACAAGAACTGCCATAACAAGAGCCAAGACCCTCCTGAAGAGTTACGGTGTGTGATACAGAGGGGAGAACCAGGTCAGCAGAAACAGAAGTGACTGTGGGTAATGACAGTGTTTTTCTGAAACATAGCAATGCCTCTGCAAGGGCACATCCACCCAGGCATGCCCATGGGGTGCTGAACCCATGCTCAAGGCAGCTGCTGGAGAACCTCTGACAAAATGCGCTTGGAAAAACAAGGAAATCTCTGGTCTCCGTCTCTGGTTTGACACCAGAATCAGAGTGCCTTTTTCTGAAGGGGAAATGGGCCATCAGCTTTAAAAGCTGCAGGAATCTTGCCTATGTTACGCTTATTGCAGGGTAATTAGATAACCTGCTGTAGAGGTTATCGAGTGGATTATTTTGTATCTGTCTTTTTTTTTTTTTAAATTAAGATTAGTGGGCTGGCTCATTTTGAACCGTTTTGTAAGTCTCAGTCAAGACAACCAATAACTACATCTTTGAGGCTTTAGAAAGAAAGTAATTTGTTTTCATGTATAGAATTTTGACCACCCTCATCTTCCATGAAACTCCTTCTTTGTGAAAATACAGACAACGTATTTGGACATTTCCTTCCTGAGTACAATTATCACGCAGTTCTTGCTACACAGCCCAATACTCAATATAGCCCTTTATCCTAATTGTTCCAGACTGGTTTAATACAAAACTGGGTTCAAAGAGGACACAGGTATTTTGGAGAAATTTGGGGGTATGGGAATTAACAAGTTTCCTGACAAGAAATAAAGAGGAACCATGAACTGAAAACAAAGAAATCAATGAGATCTGCTGAATCTCCAGAAATCGGTGGTACCTATTTTTACCAGCCCCAAAGCGGCTTTTAAGGGCAGGGTATAAATGGAGCCAGAGTATAAACAGACCCAGATCAGACTATCAATAATGGAATTACATGTCCAAAGCCTGGACGTGAACCACAACCTTATTCTGGGAAACAGCAGAAGGGATGCAGAGAGGAGCATTTCAGTGCTTAGAAAAAAACAGGCTGCATCACCTAAGTGTTCATACTACTACAAATACCAATTTCTTCATCATGACAGCTCCTTCACAACCTGAGCTGTTCTGAAAAGGGCACTTGATACCAATACTCTAAAAGTGGAGGGTCAAAGACCCAGAAGGTGATACGTATTCCTCAGGTCAGAATCCATTCTTGGTTTGCTAACATAATGCTGCCTACAACACTTATTCTAAACCAGCTCCCAGTACATGTGTCTTCACCAGCAGATTTTCCAAGCACTCTGACAGGTGATGTACTTTGTCCTCTGCCCAGATTTGTGATTTGACTGCAGGCATCCTCCCACCAAAAAGTCCTGTTAAGTCAGTGTGCAAATTAAGAAAATAAATAAATTGCTAGGGAACGTTTAAAGTTACTCATTCCACAATGAACTCCTGAGTTTGGCTCTGAAGGAAATTGTAGGCTCCGGTACACTGCTACCACTGCCCTACCAACATTGCTGCTGTTGAAACCCCTGGGAATGGAGGACACCCTAGGGATGGGTCTACATTGCACAAGATGTTCCCAAGCCATAGCACAACTTCTGTAACATACCTTACTAGCTCAAAACCCAGAGTAGCACAGCTGTTTCTCTTCACACTTGGTAGACTTAGCAAGCCAGCAAACTGCCAGAAAGTAGTTACACACCTCTCACAAAATCACAGAGTGTCTCTCAGTGGCACTGTTTCTCACAATTGTTTCTTTTTCTGTGATTACTCTGTGCAGTGTCAGTGTGGTTTCACTGAGCTCAGTTGGTAGACGGACCCAAGTTGACAATTTAAAAGAAAGAAAAGAGCTGACAAAAATTTGGCCAAGCAAAATCTGTGAAGAACAAAATGTAGTTACACACTGAAACCACAGTTAGGAGCATACCTTCCTCATTCTTCCCGTTGGGTGCCTGAGGGTCTACAGCCATCCCCAGCTTACTTAGCCACCTGTGTTTGAAACAGAGGGAATACAGAGTTAGGGATACTTGCATGCTGTTTGGACAGAGTTTTGCCCCTCAGATGTGTTCTACATCACATCTGTTTTCATTAACCTGAAGACTAAATGTCAAAGTTTCTTTTTGTTTCTTAGATCATCTTCTAGAAAGGCACCAGTTACCGGAATACTAATATTGCCTACGGTGAGCAGGACTAGTTGCCTGGGACATCTTTACCTGATCCTGAAAAAAGTACTACTGATGACCAAGGAGTTGTATTTGTGGAAGCTAAAGGAAAAGTATGTGTGCTATAACACAATGTCAATCGCTTAGTCCTGCTGTTGAGGTGTCATCTCTCACTTGAGATGAAGCAAAAGGCACAGGAGCCATAGAAGATGATGTTGGCTCCCTTGGCCAAAGCTATCGCAGCACAGTCTAAGAATTTAAGCCATTTAAAACTAGACTTTTTGACCATTATATACTGCTTTCTTCAACTCTCTATGCACTTTTGGTTTTAGTAAGTCTCACTTCCTGTGTTGCTTTAAGCTATTAACTTCTTTTTTCCATTTCTCTTCCTAGGTAGCTGAATTTTTCTAGTGCTAGAAACAATCCCTAGATATAGTTTTTGTATAATGTGTTTGCCTGTAGGTCTTTCAGATCTACCCAGGTTTTAAGAAACTAACAACTGAAAAAGCTCAAGCCTTTCAGATTAAAACTCAAGGCCTAAATAGGGAGTGTATGAAAGGCCGGAATTAAGATTCATAATTGAAAAAGCATTGTCTCTGATCTTGATTCTACTGAAGCAATGGGAAATTTGCTAGTAAGATCAGTGCCAGAGAAACTGGATTTTTAGACTGCAATATGAACAACACAACCACATAACAATTCAAGAAAACAAAGTGTCATTTCTGTAAGAGTGGATTATTGACTTCTAACAGCTAATTGTAAGAGAATGATTTTTTTAAATTAAAAATCTTAACAAAAGAAAAGGTTTGCTAAAAAATTCAGGACCTCATTAACCACAAGGTCAGACAGATTGCTAGTAACCGCATGCAACTGGCCAGGTGAATGCACACAGCTAGCCAGCACACATTTACTTTTCATGTGTGCATGACAAGAGCAAATACATGCTAAATTAATGAAGCAAATGACTAAATAAATCCACTGTTGATTTAATAGATATATATGCATGAAGAATTACAAAAGGTCATGATCCGTCAAGCATTTATGCACACCAGTAACTCGACACAGGCAAATGCCCCAGTGAGTTCAGTGGAACCACTCACATGCATATGTATTTGTAGGACCGGAGCCAAGCGAACAGATGTCTTTTAGTTTGTTTTGACATATGCATGAGTACACGTGTACTTTGTATATTAAATGCATGTATTTTATACTTTGCCAAGGAAAACATCATCAGTTACAACAGTGAGGAATTAGTATTAGTGCAGCATAGTGCAAGCTGCTCTAATGCTAGGCTACTTAGTGTTAAGCCAAATTGAAATTTACTCGAGAAGTGGAGTTTGAAGAAAATAATTTTGAGGGGCATAAGAGCTGGGACACCTGCATAGATTTCAATTACTCACTCATGAGACTAAACATTTCAAAAGTGTTGTTAGACACTGAGAATTTCCAGCTGGGTTCCAAACTGGCTGTCACTAACGTCCTCCATTTTTCTCCATTTCAGCTCTAATTATCCTTCTCCCTACATCCTTCCCTCTCTTCTCTCTCAACCAGGGTTACTCTCTCTACAGAAATATTCCTATCCAGCAGTCCCTCATTCTCAGTCATCCTCAGTCCATCTGCCTCAAGGGCTTCTCATTCTGTTCGGGAGCTCTGGTAGGAAACACAGTGATACAGAAATGGATGGTTACCTCCCCACCAGTATGCTCTGCGCTGCTCCAAGTTGCAAAGGGCAGCGCATTCTTTCCATCTATATTTACTTGTATGCATTTATAGACTACAGATTTATGAATGTGTATCTATGTACGTACACTACCGTAGTACCATACATTTCTGCTTCTATAGCCCTTTCAAAAGGTCACACATGTTCTCTCAATCTCTGTCCTTTTCTGTTGTGGTAAATATGTATGAGGTCTCCTGTTTATGGAGGGAAAGAACAGCCAATGCCCTATGTAGAATCTCACAAAGATCACCAGTAGAGCCGTGATTAAAATCCGGACCTGACTATCATATGAGCTCTCTTCCCATTTAAATTGTACTGCTTTATGTCCAGTATTTGGCTATTTAATGCAATAGCATTGTGAACAGACTGCAATCTGAAGTAAAAAAGACAAAGATGACATGAGATGTATCTAAATCAGACAAAACTGGATCAATAGCAAGTAATATCAATTTCTGATAGCTCAGTGGTTTCTAAAATGGCAGTATTCATATCTATTTTTACTTCTTGCATTAGAAACTGCATGAATGAGTTGTTGTTCTTAGGGACAATTGTGGAAAGAAAATTTCTGATCTGTCATGAAGATCATTTAACTGCAACATAGTTTGGCGCTGAAGTAAATGCTTACTTACATTAAAGAGACATTCCTTTCTACCCCTTTAACCCTCCTTGTTAACTGACATGCTACTCTGAAAGCAGACATTATTATATTCTAGTCCTAGATGACTTCTGGGACAAAACTATATTAAGCTTTTCCCTCTTTTTCCTTTCTTCCTTCACTTCTCCCAAGGTGATGAACTTGCCACCAGATCTTTGCACCTCTTTCATGGAAATGGATTTATACCAGAAATGTTGGGAAGATTAGTATCAAAATCAGGCTAATAATGCAATTCCAATCTCAACTGTAATTAGTGAACAAATAGCAGTAGTTTCCATCTATACAGTGACCAGAAAACAAAACAGACTCAGTAACTCCCCAAATAACTCTATCAAGAACTGCTTGACAGTGAGAGAATGAACTTTCAAAGGGTGTTCTCAGGTGTGAGACAGGATGAAACATGGCCAGTCGCTCGTACTTACGTGTTCATTTCCAGAACATTTTCTGCTGCAAAATAGAATGTCTTGATCTGTGGGTGGCTGATCTTAATAGCACTTTAAGAAAAGAAAAACAGAAAAGATATGATGAAAACTAGTCTACATAAGAAAGAAAAAATAATAGCTGAATGCATTATTTAAAATATTTATTCACTCCACTGTATTAATCCAAATCAGCTTATCCTTAAAACTCTAGCCTATTTCTAGCTCATTTCCTAGGCTACACATTATTCAGAGGGTATAAACTACAGGAACTAAAAAGGAAGGAATAAAGAATAAAACAAAAACTTTCATTATTCCATTACATAATTCTGTTGTGTGCCCACATCTCAAATACTGTGTGCAGTTCTGCTTCCTCCAGCTCTGAAAAGCAAAGTAAACCTGAAAAAGGTTCACAGAAAGCACCAGAAGTGACCCAAGTTATGAAGCAGCTTCCATGAGTGGTCAATCAGATTAAGACCCCACAGCATGGAAAACTGATGATTGGGGGAAGGGACACGTGATACAATAACATCACAAGTGGCACGCAGCGGGTGAATAGCAACTGACTCTTCACTGTGTTTTCCAAGACAGGTTTGAAGAGGCACCAAAGAGGCAACTAGGTGGTAGGTCTGCAACAAATAACATGGAGGTAGTCCCCTGACTACCTCAAATAATTAACATGTTGGTCTCGACCTCAGACTATGCTTTAGTTGAATATCCACCAGTAAGACTTTTCAGAGTCTTTTTTTTTTTTTTTTCCCTAAAACATAGTCTGCAATCCTGAGAATATGTGGCTTCCTTCTTTTGTTCCTCGTTAGGTGACTGACCCTGTCCCATGGAAGCATACACTGTTTGACTGGGCCTCAGCAGCACCGGTGACTCCTCACAGTTCTCCTAACTTACCCTGTCCCAAATAAGTGATGAGCATGTGTTTCCCTGCCGGTCACTGAGAGCCAACAGCTGCAGAAGTGAAGGGCAACATTTTCTCATGGTCCTGTGCTATGTGACTCAACCTTTCCTCTGAGAAAACGTAATGGAGCTCCCCATATTCAAAATAGCTGTCTCCTTTGGAGGAGTCAAGTCCACAGTTAATCTCAAGAACACCTACAGCTAGTCGCAGTGTGAGACGCAAACAGAGGAACGAAGGTTTTCTCTTGACAGACGGAATAAAAGCCATGCTGAGCTTTATAACTTTTAACAGCAGCAACACCTCTCCAAACCTTTGAAGTGTACTCAGAAGCAGCTGGAAATCAGTCCTGCATATGGAGTTTGGAGAAAATATTTTGAAATGTGTACTCTGCTAAACAATGTTTTTATTCCCTGCACAACCAGAGGTTTCAAGTACAACCCAAGCTCAGTTGCACCACGGTAGCCTAAAGAATAGTCCCAACTTGGAGGGAAGCAGCATTACTTGCACCACTGTTGACCTCCTCACCTAAGAGGAGATATCTGAGATGATAGACTACAATGTACTCATAATCAATGAACAAAGAGAAAGAAAAAAAAAAGCATTTGACATACTGATCTACTTTTTTATTTGTAGTTTTAGCAGAGCACATCTGGCAGAGAATTTTCAAAAATATTTTTGCAATATGGTTTTCATTCAGTAGCCTAATTAATATCTCATTATTTATACAACACAGAAAAGCTCCCCGCAGCTTCATTGTCAGACACTACTGAAATTCAATGCCTTGCAATATTGTAAAAAATCATGCAAAACTGGGAGCAAAAGATAAACTTACTGCTTTTTTTTGCATTCAATTGCTCGGTCCACACTGAAGTCTGGAAGTCTGATAAATCCTTCTGCTTTTTCAGCCTGCAATAAAAATAAAAGAAATCTAACAATTACCACATCAAACAATTGGTAAGCTACCAGACTCCAATGCTCAATGATATTTAACATGCAAGGGCTTGTTTTTGACAGCTTTTTATACTGTGAAAATATATGCTATCCATGGGGACAGATTAACGCTTGATATTTTGGCTGATACTTGGCAACAAGAAATATTCCTATACCAGCTACTATTTCTGCAAGTCCTGGATGCTAGAAAGCCACCACTCCTGTCTGTGCAAGTTGCAGAGAGTGAGCGTACAATTATATCAAAGCGCAGAGCATCCTTATCTAAGATTCATGAGTAAGTCATAAGTCTACTCCAGAATCTGAAATTGTCAAGAGCAAAATTTAGGTTAGGATTAAACCAGAACTAAAAAAAGCAGGAAGGTGAAAGAACCCAAATCCTTTTCAGCCATCAGTGATCACACAACTTTCAACAAAGAGACCAGCCACGCTTTGTGCATGGATCACAGAAAATTAAACTACTGAACCTCAGCTCTAAAAATAGAAGCCTCTCAGAAGAGATGAATGACATGAGAAAGGACAAATATGTGTTATATCATTTGTTCAGGTCTGGATGTTACATACAACCTCAAAGGAGCGTTCGTTCCATTATACAGCATGCACGCATGTTACACAGATGCATAAAAGCACCACACATAATGATCTATGTATATTTGAAAAATACATGTCTACAGCAACGGGAATTCAAAAGTGATCCAAAATGATTCTAGGCAGAGATGGAGAAGGGTCTCCCCTGCGTAATTGTAACATAGACCCTTTTGTAGGGTCACCTATATACGCCTGTACGTGAGCAAGGCAGAGGCATTACGGGTGGCTCCCATGCCAGGAGGTGAAATGGTGCAAGGGGATGGTCCAACACAGCTGAGCTCTGTTACACTGCAAACCAGCCCTCGGTGGCTTTGGCCTCCCAGCTATCACTCCCCCCAGAAATTTGCAGGCATGGTACAGGAGGTAGCAAAACCCAGGCAGACATTTACAGTACACTGTTTATATGCAGTCACCCCTTTCTGGATGGGAGAGGGTTTACTGAGCATTGGGCATCTCTGTTCCAGGTCAGCTGGACTCTGTGTCAGAGAGTGACTCCAGCAAAACTGAAGTTACCAGTTAGCCTCAAATCCCTATTCTTGCTGCCTGCAGCTGAAACATCTTCCTCTACTACATCTATCTGCGTTCACCTGATCAGCCACAATAAGAGTAGGACTCCCTCCTAAGAGGAGCAATAATGCAGACAAAAGTCTGTAGCACGTAATGTCAGGAAAAACAGCACTTTCCAAAATACAGAAAGTGTTCACTCCTGAATCACTTTTCTGCTGCTCCCAGCCCTTATTCCTGGGCACATTAAAATTCTGAAAACATACACTGAGTTAAAGCAGGTAAAATATACACAAAGACAGTGGATAAATGAAGATGACTGACAGCATCTCAAGTCACATTATGCATGAATATGAAGAGACTACAAAAAGATGTTAATCAAGACAAGTCTTTGAGCTTTAATGCTTGGAAGTATGGATCTCTCAGAACTGAAATATGGATACAGAATGGATATTTCAGTGGGTAGCTTCCCTGCACCTCTGCTTATCTGTTCTTTGGTATACAATAAATCATGGCACAACCATCATTCCTGCACTTTACATGTATTAAATATTCATATGAGATGTTTATATTTTGCATCTTCACCAGTAAATGGTTTTACCTGCTCCAGGACAAAAAAAAAAAAAACAAAACAAAAAAAACCACCACACAAAAAAAAAAAAAAAAAAAAAAAAAAAAAAAAAAACCAAAACCCAATGGCAGTGGAAGAGGTTTTTTTGTTGTTTTCTTTCAGTACAGAAGAAACAATGATGTTTATCAGCACCTGGGCTGAAAAAAGTTTGATTTTGCAATGTGGCTTCATTTGTACTGAAAAGTGCTTATTTGTTATTGTGGGTTTTTAACTTTCTCTATTTATATTTGTATCTGTCAAACTTGTTTAGAGCCTGGCTTGGTGAGCTTTTGTTTCCATTCCACAGTTTGGAATTTACTAAGACTTAAAGTCATTGAGATAAAATAACAATTAACTAAAGAAAAAAAGTGATAAGATTTTTTTAAAAGTCTCTTTTTAAAAAATGTATATTTCAATCAATTTTAGACCTTAAGCTAGTATTTCCATCCCAGCTATAGTACACCAAATACACAGGGATGAACGAATAAATACGGGTGAGTAAAGGAGGAGCTCTGTTTGTGGGCTGCATTGTACTAAAGATAGAGAACATATTATCCTGCATTTCTGTATCAAAAAGAGTGGTCACTTAGTAGACCAGGTGCAGTGAGAACACTGAAATTCCTGTTTGATTCGTAAGAACACCAGAGACCAACCTCAAAAAAGCAGTTCATGAGGTATCAAAGCCATTATTACACACATTGCTGGATGAGAAATATATACAATGCCAGTTGTTTCTCTGCAGTACGAATCAATAAACCCAGTTAAAAAAAAAAAAAAAAAAAAAGAGAGAGATCCAGAAAACCCTGTGTGAAGGAATATACCCAGGTATCTTCTCACCCAAACACCAATAAATCCATGGCCTGAGGTAGGTAAGCCATCAGGTGGGTGACTGGGGTGGGTTGCCCTTACCTGTTACGAATGCAACCAGAACTCAGCCAGTTTTATCTATTGGTGTAGTAGCCATTGGTCTAGACTACATCCTGTAAATTGCTTAGGGTGCTGCACACTCCACTTCCGAGGAGATTAAGTCCATGCAATGCCATTAGATGAGTGACTGTCTCTACCATCAATGTATACAAATATTTGAGCATTTGGGTATTGTATTGGACTAGTGAATTATCAGGACCCTGTAAGTGTGGGGACACATCACCCATGCGGAGATGGAACTTGGACTTGAACCACTGACATGTCCAATAAGCATCTAAATTAGAGGACTATTCTCTAAATTGGTAATGAAAATAGGACTGTAGGCTTTGATTTCACTAATTTACATTTACTAGTTTTACAAAAGAGAAATTTCCAGACTTCTTATGCAGTATTTGGCATGTTCCAGTTGGTAAAAGATTATGTTCTCGCATATGCATTTTCTCTCAATACATTCAGATTTTATATTAATTCTGTCTGTGATTTCATATTTGTTCATTTAGAAGAAAAGTTTAACGTTTCATTTTATGTATGAGTGAAAGGAAGGAGGACAACGGTGTGAATTAATTTTTTAATGCACTATTGGTATACATCTCAAATGTGCCACTTAAAAAACAGAGGTTTGATGGGTATGTAGTCCCATAAATATGGGAAAAAAAGAAGGAAGAAAAGAAAAGGAAAACAAATCATAACAGTAAAACCTTATGAGCGAATTACAGTCAAGCAATAGAATTCCAAATAAACACAAGGAACAGAATATGTGAAAGTGATCTTTTTGGTCATTCTTGGAATTAAAATGACATTTTAAAACATTAAAAGTGTATAGAAGCCCTAAATGTTTTCTTTTCTCCAAAATGTTATATTTAAAGTAACTTTAAGCATGCTATTATTTAACTTGCACATTTCACTCAAACTTCCTTCAGATTTTATTGCAATGCTGTAACAGAGCCCTGAAAAACTCAGATTAAAAATACCTTGACCTGTTTCCTATTTAATCAGGATGTTTAAAAGAATAAGCTGTTATCTCTTGTGGTTTTTATGCAGGTTAGCTTAACAAATACATCTGCGCTATGCCCAATTGTAGGAAAATAATTTCAATAATAACAACAGTCTCTGCAAATCCTTGGGGCAAAAAGAAAGTAACCAGTTTTTTGCAGAAAAAGCTTTTCACTCAAAAAAGAATTTCAAACATATTTATGAATCGTAATGCATGAATCCAATGAAAGAGGCTAATGTCCTTTTTAGCTTGCCTCGATACATCGTCTAAATGTTGTGGCTTTAGGAGATTTAGTATATATATCATTTAGTATTTATAGTGTAGTATTTAGTATATATATATATATCATTTAATAGACCTTTTTCAATATTTAAAGTGAATGTAATGGTGCAGAAAGTTTTTTTAAAATAGTGTTGTGAAGTGAAAATATCTAGTTGTTGTGGAACAGCTCCAATCTGCAATTCAGTGTACTCCTCATGGCTTCATCACAGTGTTTCAGCACTGCCCCCAGAAGATCCTGTGGATGTTGGAGGAGCAGTTAAGTCATCAAGCCTTTTTAATCTTTTTTCTGTCTGCCAAGTACACCAGTGAGGCAACCTATAGAACCATGAATAATTTGTGTAAGATATTGGACCAGAGGTCCCCAAAACCCTTGGCACAATCAGCCGACATCAATGACTTTTTATCATCCTTGTAAGCAGCTACTATAACTCAAAGGTGAAAGATTTCTGTTTTAAAAGACTGCAATTATACAGCTCCTGGCAAAGCTGTTGGAGTGAGGACCAATTTAAATGCAGTAAATGGGGAAAAAAACCCCAAAGATAAATAGTGACAGTAGATCACAGCCTGCAACCCTTTGATTTTATATTTATATTTCTTTTCAGCTGAATCCCCATGACAACCATCGTTAACACATCCTGCAAAACTGTCTTTCAACTCCTTGGAAAAACAGTCAAGCTATCCTAAAGACTCACAAGACAGAGGTGTTTAGTCCTTTTCCAGCCACCATTATCCAATAGAGTCTTAAGAAGCAGAAGGAGCCAGGAGCCTGGGATCGTATGTGATGATCTTCCTCTGCCACTCCTTTTCCTATGCAGGACTACTGATTCACTCCAGGGTTTCAGTATGAGAACTAAAACTGCTACAGGGGCAGGCAGGATCACACACTGTCCTCTTTAAACACTTGTCTTCAAGGCAGCTGCCTACAGAAAGTAGTACTCGAAAGAGGGACCCAAACACTAACAAAGAGCAGTTGTACAAGGAGTCTGATGTTCCTGAATCCACCCAGAAAATCTGACTGCTTAGATCCATTTTCTGACATTTCTGTGTTTCCAT